AACTTTTCAGGAAAATAAATTACTCACTAATTATGTCAGACACTGTTTGAGCCTCCAGTTGTGGCTTTGCTTCTTTTTCTTTGAAGGCATTGGAACTTTTAACTGTGTGGCAGTGTGTTGCCAATGTTGCTCTTCCAAAGACAGCCACCAAGAGGTCTTTTGTTGCTTTTTTTGGATCTGTCCATTTCATGTGGCCAAACTGTTCAGCACCGATAGCCATGTTTGGGCCAATTCAAACCTGAAAACTGATCAAACAATGACACAATAACAGAGGTAAAAGGTGAACGTACTTGGTTACTAACGTAACCTTGGTTCCCCGAGAGTAGGGAACGAGTATTGCGTAGCTAAAACGCAGTGAGGAAACTCCTTTCCTCTAGAAATATTGAAGCCTATATTTAAAACGCAGTGCAGCTACACAGCGAGCACAGCAGAGCGTCTAGCCTCGCCCATTGGCTGTGCTGCAGCAACTGCACACCCTCAGGCGAAGCGCCTCTGACACGCAAACCAATCAAGCGACTGTGCGCCAGAGCACGTCAGAGCCCGCCAGAATGGGCGGGGCTTATGGCTATAAGAGAGCCCATAATTCGCCATTATAGCAGGTTCGATTCGACTGAAGCGACAAACCCTGACAGATTGCAATAGTGCGGCAGGCTAGGCAATACTCGTTCCCTACTCTCAGGGAACCAAGGTTACGTTAGTAACCAAGTATGTTCCCTTTCGAGAACGGTCACTTTGTATTGCGTAGCTAATACGCAGTGGGGACGCAATGTAACACGCCACGCTATTAGCAACTGGCTGCATAAACTGGAGCATAGGGAGCACCCCGAGGCTCACAGAAACAAGATCTGAGTTGGGTTTCATGAATAAGGGGACAATTGTGCTTATGGACAGTAGTATGTTAGACTGATAAGACCGGACACCGTCAGCTCTAATTATCCTATTGAGAGGACTCGAGCCTGCAAGCAAGGAACCTCCATGTTATAAAATCTCACAAATGTGGACGGCGAGGAGGCAGCTGGCAGCCGCACATTGAATTGGTACCCCAGAAGACCAGGCCCACGAAGAGGCCATGCCTCTTGTGGAGTGAGCTTTAGTGCCTATGGGGCAAACCTGACCCACCAACGCGTATGCTAGAGAGATGGCATCCACTATCCATCTAGATAGTCTCTGCTTCATGACCGGAGACCCCTTGGTGCGGCCACCGAAGCCAACAAAGAGCTGTTCTGATTGCCTGAAAGGCGCAGAATGCTCCAGGTTAATTTTTAGACCTTTATAGCAGACTGTGCTATAAAGATCCTCACAACTGTGTTCCTTTCTTGAAAGAAATGATATCTGTGAGGATTATCAGTCAGCATTCAGACCGTACCATAGTACCGAGACAGCTCTCATTAGAGTTACAAATGATATGCTCTTATCATCCGATCGCGGTTGTATCTCTCTATTAGTGTTACTTGATCTTAGTGCTGCGTTTGATACTATTGACCACAACATTCTTTTAAATAGACTCGAAAATTATGTTCGCATTAGTGGAATTGCATTAGCATGGTTTAAATCATACTTATCTGACCATTATCAGTTTGTAGCAAGAAATGAAGAGATGTCTTATCGATCACAAGTTCAGTATGGCGTACCACAAGGCTCAGTACTAGGACCGTTGCTGTTCACTCTGTACATGCTAACATTAGGAGATATCATTAGGAAACATGGAATTAGTTTTCACTGTTATGCCGATGATACTGGGCTGTTTTCGACTAAGGATTTTCATAGTCGAATCTGATTCGTTAGATTTTGCCGTAGTCGACTGATAGTCGACCTTTTTTTTTTTTTTTTTAGATAGCAGCTAGACGTTCGGTTGAATAACTGTTCGTCTGTTATAGGACAACTCACTCTACGTTTATTTAAAATGAACAGCAAGACAACTAGAAGTGAATGTGCTTTCCATTAAATGAATCCTTAACACACAAAAAACGTTGCAATGAACGTGCTTTGTTTTAAATAAATCACACACAGTAAACAAAACCTTAACAAAAAAACTTTGCAATGAACTTTGCAATTTAGACGCGCAAACTGCGTGCCGGTGCGGTGAGACGTAGTCGTTCATCCTCGGATGCGGCGTCGCGCGCGCTGTTACAAAAAAAGCCGTGCACACAGCCAAGCGAAATGGGGTCTTGCCGGTCTTGCGCACCCAACGCGTCATTTTTTTGCCGTCCGCACCTTCGCGCTCGTGCGGACGCGTCGAGTATAAACAAGGCTTTACCAGAGAGAATGTTTGGCTTTACTCCGTGTCAGCGCGCACTCTTATCGGTAAAGGTGCACCAGCAGTAGCAGCCTCCATAGACAGTATAAGAAGGGCAGCCTCCGAGTCCGATCGCACCACTGGCACTAACTCCGCCTCCGTTTCCCTCGTAAGATGATATTAGTATTTAAACATTCTCTATGATAAAAAATGTTTGTAAAAAATATTTTAATAGCACGGTTTTGGCGGTTATAGAGTTCTAATGACGGTGTTCAACTATAACCGTCGGTCTCACGGTTATATAATAACGTCACACCCCTCATAACACGTGCCTACTATTCGACTATGAGGTTCATAGTCGAATCAGACCTCTCCGAATCGAATCGTCGAATCCTCGACTATTAGAAGTCAGCCCTAGATACTCAGCTGTATATTTCTTCAAAACCTAACGAAACTTACCAATTCACAAAATTAACGGAATGCATAGCTGATGAAAAAAAATTGGATGACTAGTAATTTCCTACTACTAAATTCTGAAAAAACAGAGATTCTAATTATTGGACAAAAAACTTCCACACGTAATAACCTAGAATACTGTCTAACACTTGATGGCTGCTCTGTTAAGTCTTAGTCGTCGGTTAGGAACCTGGGTGTGCTCTTTGATACCAATCTTTCATTTGAAAGTCACGTGTCTAGTATCTGTAAAACTGCATTTTTCCATCTTAAAAATATATCTAAATTACGCCATATGCTCTCATTAACAAATGCAGAACAATTAGTTCATGCGTTCATGACATCAAGACTAAATTATTGTAATGCTCTACTGGGTGGTTGCCCTGCACGCTTAATAAACAAACTACAGCTAGTTCAAAACGCAGCAGCTCGAGTTCTTACCAGAACCAGGAAACATGACCATATTAATCCGGTTCTGACAACACTGCATTGGCTCCCTATTAAACATCGTATACATTTTAAAATATTGTTGATTACTTACAAAGCACTAAATGGTTTAGCTCCGCAGTACTTGAGCGAGCTCTTAACGCATTATAGTCCTTCACGTCTATTGCGATCTCAAAATTCCGGCCAGTTGATAATACCTAGAATATCAAAATCGATTGCTGGCGTTAGATCCTTTTCCTATTTAGCACCAAAACTTTGGAACAGTCTTCCAACCATTGTCCAGGAAGCAGACACACTCTGTCAGTTCAAAGCTAGACTAAAAACACATCTCTTTGACCTAGCATACACATAATACACTATAGACTTCTATAATTCAATGTTAGGCTGCATAGATTAGGTCAGCCGGAACTGGGAACACTTCCCTTAAATCCAGATGTACTCGTTACATCATAAGAAGAATGGCATCTACGCTAATTTTAGTGTCTTTGTTTATCCCGAGGTTTCACCGCAGCCTGCCGGATCCAGGCCGTATCCAGATCTGACGAAGGAGCTTCGCCTGGACCCGATGACAATGCAGTGCTGAAGTGTCAACTATCCTCTCCCTATGGAGGATCCCAGATAAAGCGTTGTTGAAAATCCGGTTCGCATAACCCGAAGTGATAAAATAAAACAAAATTCTTTATCTAATGTATAGGCAAGACAAGTAGTTTGTTTAGGCATGGTTTGTAGGGAAATTACAAACCTGCGCACATATATTCAAAGGAATATAACTATAGAATCAATTCTTAATGCGCATGTGAACGCATGTGAACGCCATCAAGTCACAGGTTCGCGTTTAAAGTCTGTTTAGAAAGAACGCCGTCGTCTTAGTGGCCCCTAATTTGATAACAAATGATAATTTTGCTGGAAGTGAATCAATCAAAACTAACTTTAGCTGGAAATCAAATTATTCAAAAATCGCTATAAAGCCAAAACAATCTCTGTTACCGTAAATTGTATGTTTATCTCTGTAAAGCTGCTTTGAAACAATCTACATTGTTAAAAGCGCTATATAAATGAAGATGATTTGACTTGACTTGACCTCTGACAGGGCAGAGCAAATTAGCCACCCCATCGTTCTCCGAGGGTGGAAGAGCTGATAATGTAACAATCTGCGCTCTGAACTGAGTTGAGAGCACTTTAGGTACATATCCATGCCTCGGCTTGAGTGTGACTCTGGAGTCACCAACCCCAAAGTCCAAGCAGGAAGGGCTCACAGAGAGCGCCTGCAAATCTCCCACTCGCTTAACTTATGCCAGAGCCAGCAGGAGAGCGGTTTTCAGCGAAAGTGGCTTAAGATCAGCCGACTGCAGCGGCTCAAATGGGGGACCCTTCAGGGCCCCAAGGACCGTGGAAAAAAGTATTTAAAAAGTATTAAAAAAGCTCTAAACAATTGTAAATATTTATCCTAACCATTCATGATGCTGCACTGTGTACATAGATGGTAAATTACAAGAAAAAGGTACAAAAGCACTCTTTACGTTTATATATTTAAAACTTTTTCTGGTATGTTTTTTCATGTGAGCTTTGGTGTACATGGTAGTTCTGAATTCTCTCTTTAGACTTTTTTTTTTTCAAAGGACACCTAAACTTACGTTGAAAAAGTGTATTGTGTAAATAAACTGACTTGACTAACTGAATAAACTAGAAATACCTAGAATCATTAGTGTAACAGTATCAGTAGTTAGACACCCGGAGCAGGAATACGCTCTCAGATTTAATCAGATGTACCCCAAACAGCAGCCATATTCAAGACCAGATTGACAACATACCTTTACCAGTGCATTCTTTCAAAAATAAATAAATAAATCCAGTAAAATATTCATAATTCCACTAAGTTTATCCTTTTGTTTTCATTTACATTGTGGCATTTCCCAGCAAGACAGAATTGTATCTAATATTTTGATACCAAGGTACTAAACTGAATCAAATACATGAGAGATGCATCCAAACAATTGAATTTAGAGTCAGTCTTCCACAATCACTCAATATTGGAAGCTATAGCATAGGATGTGGTCAGGCATTCATATGTAAACGACAAATTTTTTTAAAAGCCTCAGAAAATCATATTTGCCGCACTTTCATCTGCGGCGTGACCGTAGCCTTGATCTCACACAGATACGCATTTTCTGGTGACATTTTAAATTGCTGAGCCATTTAAAACTCTTTCCACAAAAGGAACACAAATAGGGTCTCACATCTGCATGGCTTTTCAGGTGTATCTGTAAGTGTGATGGCAAACGAAACCTTTTATTACACTGTTCACGTTTAAATGACCTTCCTTCAGAGTGAATACACAGGTGATTTTTGAAATTGCTCCTTTTTCTAAACCACTTGCCACACTCAGAACACATCAGTTTCTTTCCAGAATGAATTAATGAATGACGCTTCAGATCTTTTTGATATGTGAAACTCTTCTTGCACTGAAGACATCTAAAAGGCTTCTCTCCAGTGTGAACTCTCATGTGAACTTCAAGGTTTCCTTTAAATGTGAAACTCTTTCCACACTGAGGGCAGATGAAAGGCTTCTCTCCAGTGTGAATTCTCATGTGACTCTTAAGGTTGCCTTTAAATCTGCAACTCTTTCCACAGTGCTGGCAAGTGAAAGGCTGCTCTCCTGTGTGAATTATTGCATGCCTCTTAAGGTTTTTTCTGTCTGGGAAACTCTTTCCACACTGATGACATTTAAAACAGTTCTCTTTTGAATGAATCTTTAGGTGGTAATCAAGGGATTCTTTGCGTGTGAAAGATTTTCCACACTGAACGCATTTGAATGGTTTCTCTCCGGAGTGAACTCTCATGTGAATCTTAAGATTTCCTTTTTGTGAGCAGCTCTTCCCACACAGTTTGCAGGTGTATGGGTTCTCTCCAGTGTGACTTCTCATATGGGCTTTAAAGGTTGCTTTATATTTGAAACTCTTTCCGCACTGAGAGCATGTGTAAGGATTCTCTCCAGTGTGAAGTCTGATATGAGTCTTAATACTTTCTTTAAATCTGAAAGTCTTTCCACAGTGATGACATGTGTAAGGCTTCTCTCCAGTGTGAATTCTCATGTGAACCTTAAGGCCTACTTTTAATCTAAATCTCTTTTCACAATGTTGGCATTTGAAAATCTTCTCTTTAGAGTGAATTGTTACATGCTTGTTAAGGTGTGTTATGTCAGAGAAACTCCTTCCACACTCATGACATATAAAACAGTCCTTTCTTGAGTGAACTCTCATGTGGGAACTAAGGTTTTTCTTGCGTCTAAAACTTTTTCCACACTGATCACATGTGAACGGCTTTACTCCAGTGTGACTGTTTATATGATAGGTAAGGCTTATGCTCCACTTAAAGCTCTTTCCACACAGTTCGCAGATGTAAGGCTTCTCTTCTGTATGAATTCTCATGTGCCTGGTAAGGGTTGATTTTTGAGCAAAACTTTTTCCACACTGTTGGCAGGTAAAAGGCTTCTCTCCAGTATGAACTCTCATGTGGCTTTTAAGGTATGCGTTTTTAGGGAAATCTTTTCCACAGTATTTGCAGGTATAAGGCTTCTCTCCTCTGTGAATTACCATGTGGACTTTAAGGTCTTCCTGTTGATTGAAACTCTCATCACACCTAAAGCATGTGAAACAACTGTTAGGGTCAGTCTTTGGCACTCTTTTTTGTGTAGAAGTATTTTCAGTCTGCTTGGAATTTCCGGCAGTCATGAAATCATGTTTCTCATACTGATCTTTCTCTTTCATTTCATTCAGTACTTCACTCTCCTCTTTCAGTGGCATCAGGTCTAAGGTGAAAAGAGACAAAAACCTCAGTTTAATGGCACAAAGCAACAGATATTAAAACACCTTTCAAATCTGCCATTTATGCCTAAAATATTGGAAGTGTCCTCTCAATTTGTCAAGAATTTCAGTCAGAATGTAAGCCTCATCACAGCATAGACAATTAGCTTATTAAAGTAAAAAATTACCTGCTTTTGGCATTTGTCACATCGACATCATTATTTTCTTGCTATTAGACCTTTAGACAACATAGACCATGACTTGTACACAGGAATTTCTGTGGTGTTGAATTTTTTCTGCAAGTCCTTATAGTGTTACAGTGTTAAAATCCTTGTGTACATATACTGTAACACCACCTTGTGTTAAACTGTGGCTCAAGTGGTGTAATTTTCTAGTGTTGCACTTCCGAACTCCTGTTTAGTGTTAATTATACATACGGGAACTTTGTTGAAAAAAATGTCGGTTCTCTCGTTGGAAAGTCGAGATTAAAAGCAAACGAAAGACGGTAAGAGTTTATTTTTTTTTATTTTTTTTATCAATAACTGGTTTAACATCAACTTTGAGCTCATGTGTCTGTGAGTAATACAGAGTATACAAATTAATCATTCCAGCATTAGTCACATTAAAAGCCGCAAGTTGTAATTTCCATTTAATTACATGCTGTCCTTGCAACGCTTTGATTCACAGAAGACAAAGATGATTATAAAAGAACGTAAGATTTATTATGAACTCAGAATAACAAGCCAACATACGAAACAGTGTGCTAGTGCACAGACAACAACCAACAATGAACTGAGGGACTAAAAGAACTTAAGTAGTGGTACAAAAAAGGTTAATAAGGAGACACAGCTGAACTAAGGTGACTAATCATATCAGTAACCATGACAACTAATAAGTGGCGCTAAACTAGTAAGGAAACGCATGTGACTGAATGAAAACAGAACAAAATGAACATGACTGTGAAAGGCTCTGGAGGTGGACGAGGTGATGGTGAAAGGAAGGTGAAAGGCAGAAGAGGAAGGATGATGGCAGGATGAGGCGAAAGGATGGTGATGGGAGGATGACGACAAGACCCCGGACGCGATGATGAAATGTCCCAGGTAGCACAGACCCAGAGCTTGCCAGTGGCGACAAAGGAGGGAGGAGCCACGATGGTATGGAGGCTGACGACAACTGGGTGACAACTGGCGAAGACGAGGCCGATGGATCCACAGCCACAGACGGAGAGCCGATGGAATTGAGCGATATCGCTGGCACTGTAGACCCAGGCGATTCTGCGGCAATGAACATCGAAGGCGGAGCCAGACTGCCCGAGGACTGAGGCGATGCTGGTGTGATGGAGGACCGAGGCGTACCCAAAGGGAAGGAGGAGCCCGCTGCAGCCATAGGTGTGGAGGAATGGTGCGTTGCGGAAGATCCGCAAGTCCGTGGCGAAGGTGGTGTGACGACTGACCAAGGGGGAGCCGGTGGGACGAGGGAACCCGGGAGAGTTGAAAAGGCAGAGGGTGTCTGGTGGAGCCGAAGGAGGGAGGAGCCAAGTTGGAGCCGACAGGTCGACGGGCCGAGACAGAGTGCTGGAGTACTGGCTGAGAAGGGCGGTGACGGAGGCAGATGGAGACTTGACAGGGTTTAAGGTACCACACAGTCCATGCAGGTCTCTGTGCTGTTTAGCAACAGTAATGAACGTTGAGAAACGGGGTGGGATAAGGTGATTGAGGATACCTCAGTGCTGAAGTCAATCAGCCAGTCTTCAGTCTCTATTTCCACCAGAATACCCTCGGCCACTGATGTCGCAGACTCACACCCCAGGTCAGACTCACTGGGGGGCTCCTCCACCGGGGCGATGGTCCGCACTGGCCACTTGTCCTCGGGCTCTGGCTGACTTGTCATGGCGGGTGGAAGCTCTCCATCTGCTGGGGGCTCACACAAGTTTCTCTGCAGTCGAAGGTCAACATGACATCATGACTTTGCATAAACATACACGCCACTTTCAATTCAAGTGGCGTGTTATCTATACGCATTTTGAGCTATCCGCGTGTATGTCCACGCCGAAATCTTTTGCGTGTATGTCTACGCCATTAAACGTCCGAGTGATTCCGCGTGTATGTGTACGCCGTTAAATGTCCGAGCGAAACGAAGCAAAATCTATATTCTACATCTGTGGAGCGATATTTCTTTTCCTAGGATGGTAGGAGAAGACTCATAAATGGTATTAACCCCAGTGACGGGTAGGTTTAGGGACGGGGTTGGGGTAGGTCATATATTTATATGTACATAATACAGTAATATAACGTTAAGTCAAAGGCGTTGATAAACACGCTGAAAAGCGATTATGCGTGTTGATAGCACGCCAAAAATGGAAATACGAATTGGCGTGTCATACATACGCCATTTCATGAGATCAGTCTGCGAAGGTGGTGATTTGGGCTCTGGGTCCGGCTGTGTTCTGGAACGGTGCACAACGCTCTCCAGACACCGGATGATCGCCTCTCTCCAGCTCAGTCCAGTGGTGTCAGGGAGGTTCACGGGGTGATGGAATTTAGCCCTGATCCAGAACAGTGACTTCAAAGGGGCAAGAAAATGTTTGTGGAGAAGGTTAAAAAATCTTTGCTCTCACGAGTGATCACAGCCAGTTTGGTCGCATAATCCATCTTGAACACGTTCAGAAAGAGAAAAAGAAACAAGCTTTACAGGAGCCAAAATTCACATCAAGCAACTGTGACTCAACGAAGCAACAAATTCGAAACGCGTGAACAGATCAGAAGATCAAACGAAGCCACGCAAAATCAAGTTCATTCGGATAATTCAGATCATCCAGATCCGGCCAATAACAAAATAATAGCTCGTTAGACTGAATAAAACAAATAATGGGTACGGACCGAACATGAGAATGTGTCACAGATAGGGGTGTAACGGTACATGTATTCGTATTGAACCGTTTCGGTTCAAGGCTTCCGGTTCGGTACGCATACAAACCGAACGATTCCTTGGACCATTTTTCTTGCCGACAAAATTCGCGCTGGCGCGATCACCACAACGTAGCGCAACATCAAATGGCAAGCGTAATGAAAGCGGAACGAAACTGCGCTACTCATTATATTGTGCTTCACGGATCGTTTGACCAGCAACATCTGTGCAGCGCGAGCCGATCTCGATCAAGCGACACTGTTACAACACAGCGCTAAGAGATCCAGTAAAGAAAACATTTTAATTCGCCACTGAAGTAATAACAGCACTGCGAGATCTAGTGAGAAGCATTCACATTTCTCCGTTATTACCCGTAGATCTCTAGATCAAACAGCGCTGACGTGGAAACCAGGAGAAACATTGTGCCGTGAATGAACTAGTAATACTTTACGTCAGTAGCGTAGGCAGAAATATTATTTTGGGTGGGCCAGTGAAAATGTGAGTGGGCCTATAGTTTTTCATAGAAAAAAATGACTTCAGTAGGCTAATAATTAACCTTAGAGAGTAGAAAAATGAATCGACAAACTGCAAAAACAGTTAGCTGCTACAGCTTTATATTCGGCAAATCATCATGTTCAACCAACAGAGCTTAATAAAGGCTGGACAAACCAGTGTAGACATTAGACAATAACCTGTCTATTTTATTCAGGCTAGTCAGCAATGCAAAGACAGTTCACCCGAAAATAAAGTAAGCTAAAATAATAATATCGCTATTAGATCGGCGGGTAAACCCGCGTCGGGCTGACCGGGAGAGAGGGAGCAAGAAGCAGCCGCCACCAGCACCTGACTAGCCTTCTCCTGGGGTAATGAGTCTGAAGAACTGGGACTCGGTAGTTGAAGGCAGTGGCGTGTCTTCTTCCTCAACTCTTGCTTTTTTCAAATAGCACATTAAAGAAAGTTGTTTAGCCATTATTGTGGCGCCGACGCCGCTGTGAGTTTTCCTGTCGCAACCCCCAGCAACCATAGCAACCAATAAAGTTCAGGAGAGAGGCTTTCTACAACTTGCTTCGACACTCCGTTTTATTCGGAAAACGAATTAAACACACACAGCAGTCAACAATAAATCAGGTATATATTAATATATTTTCTTAAATACATTTGAATAAAAATAAACTAAAAATGTACTTTTATCAAACTTGCCTGGGCGGGCCAGTGAGTAATGTGGGCGGGCCAGTGCCGCCCTGGCCCAATACTGGCTACGCCCCTGCTTTACGTCCACAGACCAGCAACATTCACCATGGATTTAATATAGTAGGCTAACACTAACTGTAACCAGTTTGGCTGGAATAGTTAACTGCTTTCAAGTACTTCACACATCTTTTTCCAGCTCTTCAAAACTCAAATAATATATAAATAAATATATCTATATTTAAATGTTATTTTTAATGTGATGACCAAAACATTATTTGTTCATTGTTTATCCTTCAAAGATGACCCCCATTTATAAACCTGAAAGTTTCAAGATGTAGGAAAACTCAGTTATTTAAAAATATTTTTTTCTTTTAACAAATAAGAAATTTCTCTGGCATTTCTTTCTTTTTGCTGTATCGAAAACGTACCGAACCGTGACTTTAAAACCGAGGTACGTACCGAACCGTGATTTTTGTGTACCGTTACACCCCTAGTCACAGACACTTGATGCTATTTTCAAGACGCCAATCCACGACTTCATTTACTTCAATAACGAAAACAACTTAAACAACCAGAAAACAATTCACAATAGTTCACAAAATGTTTTACAAGAAACATATTAACGAATAAAGAAAAATAATAGTAAAACAGTAGGGCAAACTAGGGAAACAGAGAACACCTGCCTACACCTGTTCTCACAAGCAGTTCTTACCTGGCTCTCAATAAACTAAAAAGGGTGAGTCTTCCGGGCCTCTGCTTCACTCCCTATGCTGTCTAAATAACCAAAAACGTGAACTAATAAACAAATCCACTACCAGTTACTGATTAATGAAAAGAAAATAACAACAAAGAACACTAAAAATATAAATATTTGGGGTGAACTAAACATAAAATTACTTTTTTTTATTAAATAGTGGTTTACTGAACAAATTGTGTCTCTGTCTTTAAATGAATGAATTATAATTAAAAGTTTCTTAAAAACTTATCTCTGCTAATGCTGTTCACTATAGGAGCCCTTACTTGCACATTACTATAATATTAGGTTAACAACAGAGTCCAAACTAATAGCCTAAATTCAGTTTCTATTTATTTTTAGATATAATATTCAACACTCAAATAACAAATTCTATGCCAACATGTAAACTGCCCATAAGGCAGATTTTGCATTAACTTCTAAATTTAATTATATGTTTTTACTCTAATTCGTTGTTGAAATATAATAATTTACACACTGGCTGTCATTTTCATGACGGATATTTTAAACATAAAATATGTTTTAGTTCTTCCCCACTCGCATGCAGATGCAGAGAGAGTGTTCTCCATGGTGGGTTTGAACAAAACTAAAATTAGGAACAGTTTGGCTCTGGATGGAATGCTATCATCCATCATAACTGTGAAAATTGCTGGCCTTGAGCCACAGTGCTTTAAGTGGGAGCCCCCTACCCCTGTCATCAAGGCATAAAAATGTGCAACAAACACAACACAAAACACCATTCATAAGCCAAATGTGTACACACACACACACACACACACACACACACACAAACACAACTTGACATACATGCTCAGGGCAAGTTGTTATGACTGAGTATGTACATTGAGCACTGCTGTTCAGTTGGCTCGTTTGGGGCAAAATTTCTTTTTATTTTTTGATAAATTTAAGAAATATATAAAACTATTTATTTTATTTGGATTTTTTGGATCTTTTATCAGATTTACCAATTGTTATAATTTTGTGCTGGTAAATTATGAACAATAGGCAAAATTGAACTACTAGCAAAAATTCGAGTGAATTTGGTGGGGCTGCTGCAAATATTTGGGTGGCTCCTCCCCTAACAGATCTCAATCCAAACATTTGATAAAAATTGAGAGCCCTGAAAATGTCAGAAAGTGTCAGCAGTGTTCAATTCAAACTGGAGTCGGACAATGATGCCTACAGAGCCAACGAATATATGCTGCATATATGCTGGAGATAGAACAGGTATAGTTTAGTTAAATTACAGTTATAACTTGATGTCATCTTGGTTTTATCCACTATTAGTACAATCCTGTTGTAGCGGACCCTGTCCAAATGAGGGTTCAGGGGTTGCTTGGTAAACTTTATGTCCGTAAAACAACTCGTATTGAGTAACAACTTCCGGTGTCCTCAGTGGCTCAGCTGCCGGGAGTCTATGGAGACTCTTAAGTTTGTTGGTACATCCAACAACAGAACGTATTGTTTTTTGGCACAGATATTGTAAATCTCCAGCTGCTACAGCGAGTAAACAGAAATGGCGACTGCTGAGGCTCACGCGTTTGGAGAGATTGTTAATTATTTATGGGGATTAAGTACTGGGTGGATTTTTATAATTATAGGCTGGTTGTTTACACACACTGTAGACACACATCTGTTGTGTAATTTTTGCATAATAGTTCCCCTTTAAGATTTGAAAATCATCTAGTGTGTCTATTGTGTTTAATGAGAAGCTTAAATGATTAATGATTAGCTCTTAGGCTACTTCAGTATGATTATTCTGGTTTTCTGAATGACATGTCATAATAATGATGACCAACTTGGAAGTTTGATTTTCTCGAGTGCTCTTGAAGGTTAGTATTTGTCTGATCATCTCACATTTCTGTCCACATAAGGCGACTCGCTCCATGTCAAATAAAACCACTTTCTGTAGTTTTGAGAATGAAACCTACCCGTTTGTTCCTCGGTATCTTCTTGTTTCACTGTGAATACTTCTTCAATCCTGAAGTCTTCACTCTCCTCTTTAATAAACGCCATCTTTATAACAGTATGTAACGTGGATCTCAGCTGCTTCACCAGGAGTTTTCTGTGTGTTTGGACACTGCTGTGTATAAAATGAGACAAAAAAAGAACAAAAAGTCAAATAATTCCAAGCTAAATCTCATTCAGCTCCCTAGTTAGTGAGATGTGAGTTAGAGAGTGATGATGGTCATAAATAACCTGATCAGCCATGCCCTGCTTAAAAACTCTTCAGTAGATACCCTTTCATAAAAACACTTGCAATTGGTTTGTAAAAGTTGTCATTACACGTTTGTGTTCTTGTTGCATGTTCACAATTTTGACCAATAATGCGAATGCCCATCACTACTTGCCAGTGACCGTATTAGTGTTTATTATTCACGATATAGGGGACCAATTGAGACTTGAGACACAAATAGTTCATTAATTTTAGATAAAGTATTAAAGTTTACTTTTCTGAAAAATATGTATTTTTTATTTTAATAGACAAATAATACCACCAAATGTGGCCTTTATTGTTAATCTTTGTTTGATTATGGAGAAATACTATATACATAAAACAAAAATGGGCTACAGGAAAACCCAACTTTTTGTTATTTCAGATAGATATGAAAAATTATATTGAGTTACTACTTGGGTTGAAAAATAGTAAAGCAAAGCACTAGGTCTCTATGTGAAGCTTTTATGCTATTTATATGATGATCTCATACCTGTTCTTTTTTCCTGTTTAAATTATTTTCTTTATTTTTTCTTGTATTATTATTTTATATATTACACTGTATATTTTCTTTTCCTATTTGTTCTAGTCTATATTTGTTCAATATTTTATACTATATGCTGGATTTTTGCCATGTTTATTATTGGTAATGTGACTGGCATTTAACAAAACAAAGCATGACTATGATAGGGATTAATGTAAAACGCAATTCATTCATAGTTACAAATTCTTCGCAGTTAATATAAAAACTGTAAAAAAAAAATGTCTAAAGATGTGCATTGACTAAAACACTTCGTATCCTTTAGTTTAAAACACAAACCTTTCTTCTGCCGAATCCTATGGCCGAAGCAAGACGAATGAGCGGCGCAGCCTTATGACGTCATCGCCAAACCCAAAATAAAAGTTCCGTTTTTACACGCTAAAACGATTAATGTGCAAATAAAGGCATAGATACATTAAAAAAGTATATTGTTACACATTACAAATACTTGCTTATCAAATGTATTTTAAAATACAAATAATCTGACAACACAAAAATACACACAAAATAATCTTTAACACTACCTGATGTCAGATTACAGAATTATTTATATTATATCATATTATCTTATATCACATATCATAAATATATATTATATTTATATAATTATATCATTGTGTGCAACACTTATTAATTTCACATTATTGTAAAAATACACTTTATTGCATGTATTTATTACACTTTAAATGCTTAAAAAAAACTTTCTTCTACCGAATCACAGACTCATTTTTATGTATTATTATTATTCTTCAAACAATAAACAGACAGAAAAGACAGAACAGAACCTCTACAGGACTAAAATGACATCATATCTGCAAGAACAGTTTCACAAACAAACAAAAAAGATATATACGTATACAGAGGATTTATGCATCAGTGTTTTTTATTTTTTATAACATAAAATATATAATATTTCATAATCTGTCACTTGTTTTTGTTGGTCTCAGTATTTGTTTTGTATTTCAGTTATTTGATTTGTGATTATAACTTATTTGTTATAATTGCCTTTAAATATGTGTTCATTACTACAAATGTTCCACTAAAACACACACACACACACACACACACACACACACACACACACACACACACACACACACACACACACACACACACACAGAGAGAGAGAGAGAGAGAGAGAGAGAGAGAGAGAGAGAGAGCACTGCAACTTTGGGCATGTGATAAAATGTGCGGATCTTATTGGTTGGCCGGAGCGATGGAAATGATATTAGAACACTGATATGTGTTTTTATTATTTTTATTATAGAATTTATTATTGTTTGTTAAAGTTTTGTGCACTAGCGCATGAACAGGACTTTTATTTTGGTCTGGCGACATGACGTCATAAGACTGCGCCGCGCCCCTGCGTCAGTGATTCGGCTGAAGAAAGGTTTGTGTTTAAAAGCATTTAAACCGATGCATACCTTTTATGAATATATATATATATATATATTACAAGAGCTTTTAATTGTGTAGTGTTTTATCTAACATGAATGAACATTGTGTTTGTGAGCAAAGTGCGTGCATCCACACAAGTAACTGAAAAACGAGCCTGGATCCAGTAATTCGTTTGTTACTGCTCCGTTTAAATGACAATGCTTCCCTGTAAGCCATTGTCTATCTCGCTGCTCGCAATAAACGCTGTTAGAAATAACCGTCATTGAAGCATTTCTCCGCTAGGGTGTCCACATTAAGTGTGCAAAATTAGGGGCATATTTTTTTTAGATACCTGGTATCAATCTCAGACAGGTTTGTTAAATAGCAGGTCTTCTTAGGTAAATGGAAAACCTGCTTAAAAAGGTTCTTCCACATAGCAAGTCACAGTTCTCACGCAATGGGGGATGAAAGATCTTTCTGAAGATGAAAAGCATTCGGTGCAGTCAGGGCCGTATGCTGGGTCTTATTATTACAGAGGTCCCAAATTTGAGGTAGTTAGGGGGGTTCATGCTCCCCCGAGAAAGTTTATATTCCTCTGAATTCAATAAAACAACAGTGTCACAGTTAAATGGCCTAAATGGGCCTTTTGGAAAGCTCAGCTGAGCAATTTTTTTTCCAGATAACGAGTTCTGTGATTAGTCTAACGAGTAGGACAGGTGCGGTGAACACCTGATTTGCTTTCTGCACAAAAAATGCATTCAAAGAATTTCATGATTGCACTATTTAAAATAATTCTAATTCGTTGACCAGCACCTGTACATATGTGCATTTTAATGTTTGATTGCAAAAAAATTGGATAACCATATAGCTTTAAAACCATGTCAGTGGACAGTAGATTATTTGTCAATACCTGCTCTCATCATTTCCATCACTCTTTCTTATTCTCTCAGTTTTCATATCTTGCCCTGTCTCTTGACATAATATTATGTCTTTTCATTTTCATCTGTGTCAGTGAAGAAAGTAAACGTATAGGTCGGTCAACTGATATTTAGCCTAGGCTTATTTGTTTTATTAATCATTTTCTTAGACAAGTTAATTTACTGAAGGCTACGAACGCTAGGTAAATAAGTTTATTAAATTCATTCACAATATGAACACATTCATTATTAATCTTGTGTCTAATAAGATGGAAACGCCTTTGTTAATGTTTCTTGTCCCCTCACCTTGATAGTTTACTATAATGTTTACATTACATGAATGCTATTTTAGTATTTGAAGCCGGTGGAGTCTCAAGAACCTCTCCATGCAGGCTGGCAGTTGTGCGTACAGTTGCATTTCAGCGACCTTAGTAAATTCGTAAGAGTATCTCTACTATAATGTCCCTATGTCCACTCTAACGCGGCCTGGAAACAAAGTCTGCATTGTTTTGATGCCAAGTTATGGTTCATAAAAAAATAATAATTGTACAGTAAAAAGTGCTGAATATTTGGATTTCGTTAGAACTATAAATATATAGAGCTCTACTATAATGTCGTTACGTCCGACCTGATGGCGCAATAGGTGGCTTGGAATACATTGTCCCATATAAGCGAAGCGGTCAATTAAACAATATTGGTACAGTAAAACGTGCTAAAAATTAGAATTTGACAAGATCAATACACCCTTTATTAAATCACTTTGACTGATTTAACGCATCCTTACAGGTGGTGGAGAAATGCTGAAGTCTTTCTGTGTTTATTGCGAGCATAGACATATCCCTTGCCAGTGCTCCGACTACTGAACTAGGGAGCTGATTGAAATGCACTCAGAGATTTAGTTTGGATTTATTTTTCTCTCTGTTAATTATTCTCATTTTAAACAGGACAGAGTGAAGTCAACTCCTGGTGAAGCAACTGAGATCCACGTGACTTATAAAGATGGCGTTTATTAAAGAGGAGAGTGAAGATATCAAGATTGAAGAAGTATTCAGCATGAAACAAGAAGATACCGAGGAGCAAACAGGTGGGTTTCATTCTCAGAGCTGAACTCAGTCATTTGATCCTTATTATGCCTGCCTACAGAAATGTATAATTTTGAAGGACATGAAGTGGGGTCGCCTCATGTGGACAGACATGTTGTGATCACATGACCAGACAAATATTAAAGGGGTCATTCAATGCCATTTTTGTACAAGCTAATATGATTCTTTAGGGTCTAAATTAAAAGTTTGTAATATACTTTAATTAAAAATTCTCATTAGTATTGTAAGAAAACACTTATTTTACCTGGTCAAAAACAGCTCTGTTTTCAGCACGCCGTTTCAGTGCATATGACTTTAAATGATCATGAGCTTTGCTCACTCCGCCCCTCTGTTCTGTGTACACCGTTTGTAACACAATAACCATAACGCATTGTTCATTATTGTTACGATCTTTAAAAGGCCTAGGGAATGTCGTACCATTAAAATATTAATATGCTGCTAGATGTGAAGTAGACTGGAAGAACATGTCAGACAAACTTTGAAAGAGAGAAATTACTGGATTTTATTACACAAAAAGCCGAAGCCACTAGTTCCAGTAACAGGACAATGAATGCGCTATGTACAATGCAATAATAAAAAAAAAGATTGGGAGACAAACAAAGAGTGGCGCCAAAGGAAAGAACATAATATAACAAAAACAATCCTTAAGCTAACCCTAACCCTACTCAAAACAAAATGTGAAAAAGAAACCGCAATCTTCACGCACGCGGCGCTGACTAACCTAACTAAATAACAAAAGTACAAAGGTTGGCGCTCACCACTAACCTAGTGTGTATAACAGAGACAGACCTACGGGCAGTGTATACCGCGGCATACTGACCTACCGTTCGTCCTCCCAGATTATCGTAATGCCTCTATGATATGAAATCAACACACCAATACATCGCACATCACTCAGTTCGCTACACAGAGCTCAACATCGCACTTCACTCAGTTCACTACACAGAGCTCAACATCGCACTTCACTCAGTTCGCTACACAGAGCTCAACACGCCACAGAAGAGAGAGAGTGAACGCGCCACAAGAGAGAGAGAGTGAATGAACGCGCCACTCTCTTAAAACCAGCTGAATGGCCTTTGATTGGTTCTGGAACGTCGCCTCAATGATGACTAACGTCCGGCTCAGCCAATCACAGCAATCCTGCGAGCAGAGATAGTGAACTAGGGACGAAAGAGAAACACAATGAACATAATGGCCAACACGTGAAACAGATCAGTGAAACAAAACACGTGGAACGTAACACTTCCCCCCTGAAGAACCAACTATATGGGACAAAATCGACCATATAGTTGTTCAAATAGTTATGCTCAAATTCAGTTATACGCAATTCTAGATAGTGCGTCAGCTATCACATTCTCGACGCCCTTCTTGTGCTTAATTATCAGATTATAACCCTGTACAATCAGAGCCCAGCGCATTAAACGCTGATTCTGGTTATACATGCGTGATAGAAAAACTAAAGGGTTATGATCGGTGAACACGATCACCGGAATGTTACTCGAGCCAAGATACACATCAAAAAACTGGAGAGCCATCAAAAGCGCTAAAGCCTCTTTCTCGATGGTCGAATAGTTTAACTGATGTTTATTAAACTTACGCGAGAAGTAACAGATGGGATGATCAATACCATCTTTACCCTCCTGAATTAACACAGCTCCAGCACCAACGGCACTCGCATCCACATCAAGTTTAAACGCAGCAGCGCAATCTGGTGCGGCTAAAACAGGTGCGTTACACAAAAACGTTTTAATCGAGTTAAAAGCATGTTCACAGTCATCAGACCATAAAAACGTACGGGAGGGACTAAGAAGCGAAGTCAACGGCTGTGCAATTGTCGAGAAATTTTTGCAGAAGCTACGATAATAGCCAGCCATCCCCAAAAATCGACGGAGCTCACGCCGGGTGGTTGGAATAGGGAAGTCAGCTATCGCGGTAACTTTAGCTTCTAAGGGGCGCACTTGGCCCTGACCAACTTCCTTCCCAAGATAGGTAATAGTGGCCTGGCCAAACTCACATTTAGCTAAGTTTAAAGTTAGCGAAGCCTTCGCAAGTCGTTCAAAAACCATACGTAACGAGGAAATATGTTCTGGCCAATCAGCCGAATAAATCACCAGATCATCTAAATATGCGTTACACTTAGGCATTCCAGCCAACACAATATTGATTAATCGCTGAAAAGTGGCTGGGGCGTTACGCATGCCGAAAGCCATAACACGATATTGTAGGAAACTATCAGGTGTCACGAAAGCTGAGATGTTAGAAGCACGAGTCGTAAGCGGAACTTGCCAATAACCTTTTAACAAATCTAGCTTGCTGACATAACAAGCTGAACCAATGTTATCCACACAGTCCTCCATGCGTGGCAATGGAAAACAGTCGGGTACGGTTACTGCATTTACTTTCCGGTAGTCGGTGCAGAATCGCGCTGTACCATCACTCTTTGGCACTAATAAACACGGAGAGCTCCAGGGACTACAACTGAACTGAGCAAGGCCATGCTCTAACAGATACTGAACCTCATTCCGCATAATATCTCTTTTCACTGCGTTCACACGATATGCATGCTGTTTGATCGGAGCAGCATCACCCACATTGATGTCGTGCTCTAGGACTGTAGTGCAAGAAGGTACATCATTAAACAGAACATTAAAATCATTAATCAACTGCATAACATCATATCCCTGTTGTTCAGATAAATGAGATACATAGGATGTAAAATCATTCAATACCTCTGAGTTTTTAAGACGAGCACACTGTTGATGAGTATGACGCAAGATTACTCCATCATCCTCCGGATCACCAACCTCGACAGCAGCACAAGCGATCAGCACAGGAGATGCCACAGGAATGACAGTTTCGTCTGCAGGTGAAACATCACTCTGGACAACTTCTCTGTGGTGAAAAGTTTTTAACATGTTCACATGACACACACGCGTTTTTCGTTTCCTGTCAGGAGTCCCAATTACGTAATCGGTGTTACTAAGTTTTCTCACCACCTGATATGGCCCAGAAAACTGTGCTGATAGGGCAGACCCTACCATAGGCAACAAAACCAACACTGAATCGCCCTCGTTAAAAGAACGCTGCACAGACTTACGATCATAATGACTCTTCATCTTTTTCTGTACAACTTCAAGTGACTCTCTCGCCACTGAACAAGCTTTATGTAAGCGTTCACGGAATTTACTCACATAGTCTAACACGTTCACTTTCGGGCTAGACTCAAACGACAATAGATTTTCCTTAAGCATTTTCAAGGGTCCTCTGACGGTATGTCCGAAAACTAATTCAGCAGGACTGAATCCAAGGCTTTCCTGAACTGCTTCTCTAATTGCAAATAAAAGTAGTGGTACCCCCTCATCCCATTCTTTACCCGTATCCATACAATACTTCCTCAGCATTGCCTTAAGCGTTTGGTGGAACCGCTCAAGCGTCCCCTGGCTTTCAGCATGATAGGCACTGGCAACCCTATGAGATATACTTAAGCTGGACAACACCTGAGTAAAGATTCTAGAAAGAAAATTAGTGCCCTGATCTGACTGCACAATTTTGGGTAAACCAAACGTAGAAAAGAATTTCACAAGGGCTCTAGTTACAACAGGCGCTGTAATCCTTCTCAAAGGTATTGCCTCCGGAAATCTAGTCGCTGTGCACATTATTGTCAAAAGAAATTGATTACCGGACTTGGATTTAGGCAAGGGGCCAACACAATCAACAATAACGTGTTCAAACGGCTCTCCTATCACAGGAATAGGAACAAGAGGAGCACGCGGAATTACCTGATTTGGTTTACCAATAATCTGACAGGTGCCACAGGTGCGGCAAAAACGTGTGACATCAGCTTTTACTCTCGGCTAAAAGAAATGTCTTAAAACCCGATGATAGGTTTTCTTGATTCCTAGATGTCCTGACAAATCATGATCATGAGCTAAAGACAAAACTTGTGGTCGGTAACAAGAAGGAATCACAATCTGATACACACTGTTCCATTCAGCATCATCGGTACTCTCAGAACACCACTTACGCATCAGTAACCCGTTCTCAACAAAATAAGCAGTTTTCCTCTCTTGAGTTTTCTCTAGAGGAACAACAGCAGCAAAACACTTCCGAAGACTTTCATCCTCTTCTTGAGCAGCAATAACCCCTTCGCGCATTACACGCAACTTTACATTCAGAGTGCTCAGAGCAGGCGACTTTTCATCAATTTTACTCTCATTATGGGGTAACACATCACTGATACAAACAGGTGCCATAAATGTTTCAGCCAAATCCTCAGCATCCATTTTACGAGACTGAGCTCGCGTAACTACAGAAATTGGAATAGTTTCAGGATAAGATCTCGACAGTTCATCAGGCTGACCTGACAGAACTGGTCTATCAAACACTTCCAGCAAAGGCATAACTTTCCCACCGGCTAAATCATTGCCAAGGATGAATTGTACTCCTCCAACAGGCAAACTCTCACGGACGGCCACCTTCACAAAACCAGTACACAATTCTGACTCTAAATGAACCTGGTGCAACGGAACCTGGAAAAAACCCATCTCAATGCCCTGTACCAGCACATTACTGCCACAATAGGTTTGCTCAGAAAACGACAGTACATCTGCACTAATAAAAGACTGCATTGCCCCAGTATCCCGCAACATTTTTACGCATTTCTGCTCCTCAGAATTAAGGGTAAAGGAAATTAACCCTTCCAGCAGAAAAGGAGCATAACTAGGATCAGGCTTATCACTACACTCAATCTTAACAGGATCAACCACTTTAACAAAACCCGCGCTCTGATGTGCATAATTCGACTGTTTTCGTTTTAACACAACACAATCAGCAATTAAATGACCAGGTTTGTGACAATAAAAACATGCTCGATCCTCTTTCACCTTCACAGTAGCTGTTTTCGGACGTGTTGAACTATTCGAATCCACTTGCAATGACACAGCTCTCTCAGAACGCGCAAAAGTGAACACATTTTTATGTG